ATTATCAGACCTGAGATTATGATCAAATCCGTTGTAACTCCGCTACTACCTTATATTTTGATTTTTAAACTCGAGGTATCAGGGAAGAGAACCAGTTTGTAAAGCGAACAATTTCTATTGCCTTATTTTACGTATTTATTTTTGTTGTCTTTATTTGAAAACTGTTTTATCTGAAAGAACAATATTGACAGAAAAAGGAACGTTATAACAAGAGCTATATAACCACAAATCACAAAGAAAATTCATTCGTTGAATTCATTATTGCATAGATATTACATTCTAGATCTTTACTTTACTTTACTAACAACTGATGTGCAGCCACTCGCGACAGAATCACGCCTCAAGAAATAACAACTAACGGGCCTAATTAAATCTGCCGTTATAGTTGACTGACTCGTTATAAAGCAAAATGTTTTTACTTGTTTTCGTCTTAGTTTTAGCAAAGCAGCTGTTGAAAAAATAAGGGCTCATTAACCACACAATTTCTCCAGCTCACTCACGGAATATTAAAGAAACTACTCACTACAGTACTTAAAAGTACTAACTCAAAATATTTGACTGTTTCCTGGTGATAAGAAGCTGACGATGATTAAAGTTTCGATAACACGGATTCTCCTATCCATAGTTAATTGAGTGCAATGGTTATGAAACCCGTCAGACTCCTTTGTTATATGTTTTTGTGGACCTGAAAGTGCACAACGTTCAAAAGAATTCCTATCATTTTGATTGTATTGACCAATAAAAACGTTGCATTAATTTATTCCGTAACAATTTGCCAACAGAAAACAAAGGATTGTGCACTTTCACGGTGCTTTGAACATAAACTGCAGCTCTGTTGTTTTTATCATTGATGTTTGCCGCTTTTCATAACCAGTCTCCTCTAATAACTATGTCCTATCTAAATACCAGAAGAGAATTAATTTCATTTATTTTACGTAGGCTGCAGGAGAGTTAGTGATCCATATTGTAACGGAACGCGGCTTCCTTTTACAGTTTATTAGCTCTGTGTTAAACCTGTCCGAAAATTTTGAGAACAAAACGTGAAGAGAACATAAACCAAACACTTCGCTTCCAACTTGGCCGACCCTGACTCTCGGAAACTAGCTATTAAGTCGCTTATTAACACCATAGTAGAAAACAAATCTCTCTGATCATCTTCTTGCCAATGACTTAATTAAAAGAGCTGAGAGTGACTCAATAAAACTATTATTAGCCTGGGTTGTAATTAGTTTCAACTGTTGAGTCAGTGAACGAAGCGTAAATAAAGCAGATTCATTTAAGTCAGTTAATATATCCGTACTGTCGTTAGTTTTCGCTATCAGGGAGCACACATGATATTATAATGGGACGGAGGCAATCGCGGTAGTTCCAATGTCTTGCACAGTTTATGTTACCATGGAAGACATACATACATACATACACACATTCTTTTTTTTGATAAAGCAGGTTGAATAACTGGCAGCTATTGCTGATGTGGACCTGCTTTCTACTTTGCTGACAGGTTATTTTACCACCCACAAAATAGCGTGATTTAGCCGTACAGTTGGAAAATATAAGGTTCGTGGGAAGAAAACTCACACCCGGATGATATTACCACTGATATTGGCATTTGAAGCCTGGCAAAAAAAGACAAAGCATAACATTTTATGAAGTCATGGAATATTAGCTTCCTGTAGGGACTTATTCTTGTTTTGTTCGACTTTCGCGTCATAATAAAACGTTATCTTTTCCAATATTAACTGTTTTATGAACGTAAATTCACATTGCATTTCCAATTAGCAGTGTACCAAATTTCTAGCAGTGCTGTATAAAAACTAATTAAATTAACCTCCCTTAAAAATCTATCCAGTATATGATGTCTTTGAATTAAATTTAGAAAAAGAAATAGCAACAACAACTTCGTGTGCCCATGTTCGTCTTTAACTGTCAGTATTGTCAATTCATTTTTCACTGAAATATTTCTCAGTGATATTTGTGCGCCTACATAACCACTTCCTCATTTTTTTCCTCATAAGAGCCTTTAGTCTTTCCATGTAATTTTAAATCAGAGATTTCTCTAAGCATTTCCACTTAAAATTGAGTGTTGTCCAACTTAGTAAAATTGCAGTTTGTTTTGTTTTTGACGTCGTCAGACCACTTTGCATCCCACACGACGACGCAAAGAAAAAAAACTTGAAACAATCTTTGAAAAATGTGTCAAACTATGCAATATCTTAAAAATTGAATGTTGATTTTTGCGCTTTCTCGTTTCTCTCCCAGCATAGTAGAAAAGCGTTAAAAATACACGGACTGGATAGAAAAGATGCCAAAAAAGGTGAAAAAATCAACCCCCCGCCTCCACCCCTCTCGTATTCCTTCTCCTTGAGATCTCCTTTGTGTTATGGGCGCGTTTGAGACAAAGGTTATTACACTTATGAGACTTACCCTCGAGTTAACGTTCTAGAACCTAAAAACGTCATTCTTTTAAGAATATTTACAGCCGAGAAAAAGGCTTAGTCATTTCCTTCTCACCCCTATGTTCGATATAGGCTTTTTAAAGATTTTTCTTTTTTCTTAGAATCACGCTCAAACGTTTTGTTGCTTTGTTATATTGAGCATAGAGTCACTGTTAGCTTAAACAATAAGAAATAATGCAGCTAACGGATTGTCCCTGATAATTAGCAAATGTGCTACTAATTTTGCATCAGGTTATTACGTCCATTTTCTAGGGCTTTTGTTTAGCCTAAGAGGCAGTTTTGGAGCACTCAAGTGTCCCCACGTAGATAGTGTCCCGTAAAGGTATAAATATGCTACAGACTGTTGAAAAAACATTCGTCCACTTCCCAATTCGAACAGAATGAGGTTGATTTGTGTGCTTACGATTTCCATATGCTTCTTCCTTGGCATTAGAGCTGCATCAGGAGCGAAGGGGAGCCAGCTTTTGAGTAAATACAGAAATTTAGGTAATTCTAATGAATTTTATTGCTCATTTTATCTTCTGTACAGCAGTCATTGTCATTCTTTATTCTATGTAAGCTTTAATTAGTGTATCGCGGGTAAAATTAGTGGGAATAATTTTGTAACGTATGTACGTTAAATTGCACTTACTTTGTAAGCGTAAAAGTTAAAAAGTAAGAACATTTTAGAGAAAAGTGTTTCCTCCAAATTTTAACGCAAAGTTTGTTAATTTGCGATTCAGGGAAGACATTACGATAGCGCTAGAAGCGAAACCTACCGATTTTTTTGTTTAAGGAAAACAGCAACACAGGGAACTAAATGGTCGATGTAGAACTTAGCAAAAAAGAATTTCAACGTCTTTTTTCTTCTTCCTCAGAGGTATTAACTTTACTATCTTTAACCTTCTTGTTCACTTCTTCTTTTTTATCCGCACGAAGTCAGTGCAACTGGTTTATTTTCAAAATGCCTGAACGTTATTTAAGAACGTCCCGTAAGCGATTTTTTCAATTATAAGGATACTGATAAAAAAAAATGTTACAACAGATCGCACTCAACTGTGCGGCGATCGTATGATATCGATCATCTGACTAAATGATCAATCTCATATCTTTATAGTTAAAGACACACTAAAGACTTCTGAAATCGTTACAATCCCCGCGGGAAATTGTTCAGATTAACTTTGCTGACAAACATAAGTTGCATTAATTTTATTTGGAATTCAGAGAGGCTGATCTAAGATTTAAGAGAGTTAAGAGAGGCTGATCTAAAAATATTATAGCGTCTGTGGAATAAAATGTATCACGGATATTGTTTGAAAGGAACATGACATGTCATGGTGATGATAAAAGAAAAGAAAATAGATTATACCTTTCTCAAATGACAAAAACTTTTTAAAGTTTGAGATTACTTAGCCAGAAAGCTATCGTCAGCCCCAAATTAATGAGATAATAATATCGTATGAAAATAATGCATTGTTAGCTGTTGGAAAATGGTAACCAGTTGCTCGTGTTACAATCTACCTGATATAGGCTCAGTATGCTATATTAGGAGATTAAGTCAAGTATTCTTTTTTGTTATTGAAGCTTTTAATATTGATCAGCTGTGTTAAACCCCCTCCATAAAAAGGGGGAGTGGGCTAGGGGGAGCGGGAGAGTGGGCTAGTGGGTAATGGGCTAGGAGGGGTGGGGGGAGTTGCAAAATAATTCAGTTAGGTTTGAAATGTAATAAACGTAGACAGTTGCACACAACAATCATGATAAAATTTAATTTTCAAAGGTGTTCTTGGCAATTAGTACTCTATCCCTTTAAATGCAAAAATTACATTTTAAAATCGTTTATTTTACATCCATTGAGATTTAATACGTCTATATCACGTTTTGTTGTTGTTGTAGTTTTCTTAATTGTTCATGTGCCCAAAACCAATATAAAAAGTGTGGAACAAATTAGTAATGTCATAACGACCATTTAAACAAAAGAAAAAATATTCCTTGAACTACATAACTGACAATAACAAGATAAAGTGCATCTTCTATTTTCTTTTAAACCCTTGATGACCGCGTTGGTCTTTTGTTTTTGTTTTGTTTTTTGTTTTTTTTTCCTGGGTCCAAATAGCTCTCATTTTAAACTACTAACTAAAGATAGTAAGCAACGTATTCAGTTTTGCGAATTCAGGCCAGTCCGAACATCTATTGCCAATATTGGTAATCACCTACTACACCTTGCCGAGATGATATTGGTCCCTTTCCTGGAAAGGTAGTGAGCCAATGCGACAGAGAGACGCAAAAATGGGCAACAAAACGGGCTATAAAAGAGAAATAGATTCACCCGAAGAAACAACTTAAGACTATTATTTTAATTCAGCCTGAATTAAAATAATAGTCCATATATAATAGACGACTCCGTGTGAACGTAGTGCCTTTTTGAAAGTTAAAAACTGCCCTTCAGGAGGATAACATTATTATTTCCTTTTATACGGAATCAACCAGTGTAACGAATGAGTGGAAAACGTGTCAAAGAGATGTAACAATCTTTCTAGAGTAGAAGGAGTAGCGTGTTGCTCAAAAATGACTTACCGTGTGCCTTTTTTTAACGAATTTGTGCTTCTGTTTCTGTTTCTAGATTTCTACTTTAAGTGCTGTGGTGGTCACGTGGTCAGACGCATTGGCGGCAGCCATGCACAATGCTGTGGCTTGCAAACGTACGACTCTCGCTTTTTCTTCTGTTATAACCGGCTCATCTACGCCTTTTGTGGAAAAAGCAAGTACAACCCAACCACTCATCAGTGCTGCGCTGGGAAAATAAATCTGCGAGTTGGTGGACACTACAGCACTTGTTGTAGCACGAAAAGTTACGACAGTGGAAAATACTTTTGCCATGACAAAAAGGTGTATGGAAAGTGCCAAAAAAGCCCTTACAATCCCAGCTCCTTTATATGTTGCCAAGACAAAATCAGGCCTCGTGATGGTGGGAAGCTCTCAAAATGCTGTAAAGACAGGAGCTACGATGGCGGAAAGTAAGTGCGAATCCTGTCAGTGTAGTATTTTGGGATATTTCGTTTGAATTCTTAATGACTTTTTTAAATGCAGTCCGACTCTGGGTTAGGGAAGGCGGGGCCTGGGGGAAGGAGCTATAGATACCCTTGTTTTTATTTTGGCCGTCTGCATCATATATGTTTATCGCCGCGGTTTTCGCATTTTGTTTCTTCTTAAGGGGCTATAGCCGATTGTCCACCTATCCTTATCATCCCTAAGTCAAATCACTAGTCAGACCCTCCCCCTCCCCCGAACTTGGGAGAATGCAAAATAGAAAGTATGTTATTCATCAAAGAACTGAGGCCTAGCCTTAACACTCGTAGTGACTCCATCATGTAGTGTTAAAGTCTTTGTTTAACTTGTACCATATTTTTATATGTCACTTTTCTTTTTAATGAATTATTGTTTTTCTTGTATTTATAGAACTTTCATACTGTATATTTTTTAACTTGGTAATGACATCCGGGAAAGTCGGAACGTCGGATGTTTTTTATTTTTTTAAAAAATTTCTTAAATGTTTTCAAGAAACGTTTTTACGCATGACTACTACAGCTAACTGTCGCCTTGCGAACACCCCGATAATACGAACAGCAACTAAGTCTCAGACAAACATATTTTACAGATGTTTGACTGAATAAACTCCCGTTATTACGGAATCTCGCTTTTGAGGACACGAACTCAAGGTCCCAATAGTGACCGTTAGAAAGGGAGTTGACTGTAATAGTGATAATATTTTTTCCTCAAGAAACAAAATTTTATCTAACATATATTCTTCATTATCAACAGGTACTTCTGCCATAGTAGCTACATCTACCCTCTTTGTCACAAAAAAGCCTACAATCCTCAACAATACATATGCTGCCAAAACAACTTTTACTCTCGGCCAGGACGACTATACGCTCGGTGCTGTGCCACTAAAGCTTACGACTCTTCCGGAAGCTTCTGTCATAAGGGTGTCATTATCCCCAAATGCAACAAACATGTTTACAATCCCGATCACTTCATATGTTGCGGTGGAATGGTGTGTCCTCAATACGGAGCAAAGCAGGGCAAGTGCTGTGGAATTAAGAGCTACGATTCACGCTCCTACTTCTGCTACGGAAATAAAATCTACAAAAAGTGCGGAGGAAACCCTTACAACCTCCAGAAATCCTTCTGTTGTAACAATGCGGTTATTTCTCGCAGTGGCTACGGTAACTATGCAGGCTGTTGCCATAGCAGTGTGTATGATTCACGCTCCCAGTTTTGTTTCAACAGTAAGGTGTACAAAAAGTGCGGTAAGTCCCCTTATGACCCTACAAAGTACCTTTGCTGCGCAAACCACGTTGCTCCAAAAGTCGGCGGAAGTTACACCGCATGCTGTCTGGGCAGGAGCTATGACTCAAAGCGATACTTCTGTCACGGCAGTAAAATCATTCCTTTATGTGGGAAGAAGAGTTATAGCCCCGTCAGCGACATCTGTTGTCATGGCGTCCTTGTTAAACGAATCGGAGGCAAATACGCAAGTTGTTGTGCTACCAAGTGCTATAGTCGATTGTCGTCGTTTTGCTATGGTAAAAAAATTTACAGGTAAGCCCTTGATAAGCTTATTCAGTCCTGATTCCTTTGAAAACATAATCAGTGCTTTTTTTAACTTTAAGATCGCACGGACCAGTCGCAATTGACTGAGTCTAAGCATATGCCAAAAACGGCATCCAACTGACATGGTTTCGAACGAATGACTGGTTGATACTTGTTGAATAAGAAAAGTAAAAGATATTTTTTCGTGAAAGAAAGTATTTATATTAAAAGAGGTCGACTTACAATACCATGGTATACCTACCATTCACTGACCATTTATCTGGGAAAACTGTAGTAAACCGAAACTTGGTTTCTACAATGATATAATTTCTCGACCCTTCTACTGTCTTATTCTATCAATTGCTATTATCCGGTTTTGCTTCTATCAGTTAATATTAGCTGTGACACTCGTGTATATTCTAAAATCTGTGTTTGGACCTCTGAAGAAACTAACAAACTCTTTTTCTTGACTAGCCTGTGCGGTAAAAGATCTTATAACCCCATCCGTCAACATTGCTGCCTGGCTAAGGCCATTCCTCGAGTGGGTGGCTACAACGCGAAGTGTTGTGGGGCACATAGCTACAATTCTGCATCCTTCTTTTGCCACGGTAGCCACGTTTACCAAAAGTGCAAAGCCAGCGACTACAATCCCACTACTCAACTCTGCTGTAACAACTACTTGGTATCCCGGCTGGGTGGAGCTGCTGCTCGATGCTGCTCAAGGTATAGCTACAACTCATTGACCCATTTCTGTCATTCTGGTAAAGTGTACGCGCTCTGCAGTAAGACAGAATACAATCCTTACAGTTTCATGTGCTGTAACGGATACGTTACGTCACGTGTCGGGGGAAGAAATGCCAAATGTTGCGGAAAACTGAGCTACGATGATACCAAGTATTTCTGCCTCAAGTCTATCGTTTACTCTCTCTGTGGAGGAAAGATCTACGACCCAAAAAACACTCTCTGTTGTCTTGGGACACAACAGAAACGCGTTGGAGGGCTCAACTCCAAGTGCTGTGGTAAGGTCTCGTACAACTCCCTTGTGAACTTCTGCTACAATAACGTCATCTACGGCCGGTGTCAAAAGCACTCGTACAACCCGGACACTCATCAGTGTTGTACCTCACTCCTTGTGGAGCGAGCTGGTTCCAACTCACGCTGCTGTGGACAGAAGAGTTATCACCCCGACAAGTTCTTCTGCAAAAACAATAGACTCTACGCTCTTTGCGCCCACAGCTCATACAACCCACTGGGGGATCTTTGCTGTTCTGGCAGTTCTATTCCACTTGGTAGTGTTCCCCTCAAGTTCGCCAGCTGTTGCGCTAAGAAAGTCTACAGCACACACTACTATTTCTGTTACCGCGATGTTGTTTACGACAAATGTGGGGGTCAGTCTTATGATCCTCACAGTCAGTCGTGCTGTAACAATAAGGTGTTACATTTGGTTGGCGGTAGGAATTCACGCTGCTGTGGATCAGTGAACTATGATTCCAATGACTACTTCTGCCACAATAACAAAACAGTTATACACAAATGCACAGGAAAAGTATACAATCCTGCCAGGTAAGAATAATTTGTACAAAAACCATAAAAGGTGTAGATAAAACTTCTGAACCATGGTCTATGGCTGGTGCATGCATGTTTCGTTAGCCTCTATTGATAAATGATTGACTTTTTCCCTACGTTACTGCTTCCTGCCCAAAACGGCCACCTTGGGGACAGAAGAAAGTGGCCATTGTAGAGAGGTTTAACCAAGATTCAATATATGAACTGTCCAGCAAAAAAGAGGCTTTTGTGGAGAGGTGACCGGTAGTGGAAGTTCGACTGAAGTAGGTTTTCAAGATTAAAAAAAAAGAAAGATAAATATGTTTTAGAGGTTTCTTAGACCAGATCTAGGCGTAAGGGATTGTTCAATAGGCAATCAGAAGAAATGGTTAAGTGCAAGTCTTTGTCAAGACTTCATTGTTACTCCTTTTTGGTTCACAAAGAAGCACGATACCTCTAGGCTCCAGGGCTCTGGACCTCTAACTGGAGCCCTGCAGAGTTCGTTCAAAACTTGTAGCATTTAGACAATTGTTAATTGTTTTGAATGTTCTAAACGCGCCATTTCAAGGTTTTATTCTATTTCTGTTTTCTAGCCAACTATGCTGTGGTGGCAAAATCATTCAAAGTTATGGTCCTAGTTCCCAGTGCTGCGGCTATCTGGCTTATAACTCACAAACCTCGTTCTGCTATGGGGGATCAATCTATAAGAAGTGTCAATATAAAAGCTACGATCCTGCCTCATTTGTATGTTGTGATAAAACACTGGTATTACGTCATGGAGGGAACAACACGAGATGCTGCGGTCAAAAGAGCTATGACAGGTAAATAGCAAGCCGAGTCTAAATACGTGTTATCGTTTGCCTTCATCAGAAACTGTGTCTATTCCACAGACAAGGAAGTTCCGATCTCCAGAGTAGAGGAATCATGCTATCTAATACCGTATAAGCCATTTCAGGCATGTTGATAAATGGCCTCTTAGAGCGATGTGCTTTATTTACTATCCAGATTTCTCGTCTTCATGTTTTGCTAGACCATTTTTTATTGTGTGTTCTCGTCCATCTTTCATTTATACTATCATAATCATCTTCGTTAGCATCATCATTATTATGATGGTCATCTATATTATCTGCAGTTACAATGCAAAAATGCGAACCGTTAGAGAATCTAAATTATACTGAATATTCTTTACTCACTGGTTTCTCTTTATTTTACAGCCGTTATTTCTTCTGTCATAACAAAGCAGTGGTTCATCTGTGTGGCGGTCTTCCCTATAATCCTGTCAAATCGACTTGCTGTGCTGGTAAACTGGCTGCCTACGGTGTCGTCCCCTTATCATATGCAAAGTGCTGCTCCAGCAACCTTTACAACGGCAACACTCAATTCTGCTATGGCGCCAAGATTTACCAGAAATGTGGTGCACTTTCGTATTCGCCAGATGATTCGCAGTGCTGTAATGGCACCGTGGTTCTAAAGAAAGGAGGAAATAACTCTAAGTGCTGCTTGAAGGAAAGCTACGATTCCGGCTCTCACTTCTGTTACAGCGGAAAGATAATTCCTAAATGCGGTGGCGCCCCTTACGTACATGCATCACACATGTGCTGTGATGGAACAGTCCAGGCCCGGAAAGGCGGCCTTCACGCCCAGTGCTGCTTGACCCAAAGCTATGATAATTCCAAGTCTTTCTGCAACGGTGGCAAGATACATCCGCGTTGTGGTGGACTTGATTACAACCCTGTATCCTTCATCTGCTGTGGAAAAAAGCCGGTAACCAGAGATGGAGAGCAATTTGCAAAGTGCTGTGCAACAAAAAGCTACGATTCCCGTTACTACTTCTGCGAGCAAGGCAAGATTTACAACCTGTGCAACAAGAACAGGTACAATATCACCAAATTCACCTGCTGTGACAACAAGCTAAATCCCCTTTACGGAGGAGTGCGTACAGAATGTTGCGGCAAGAACGCTTATGCCAGCCAAAAATTCTTCTGCACCGGTGGAAAGATAGTACCACTGTGTAATGGCAAACTGTACGACTTGAATACCGAGAAGTGTTGTGCTAACACATTGGTTCCAAAACAAGGGGGACAAAACGCAAAGTGCTGTGGCAAGGAAAGCTATGACTCCACCAAATATTTCTGCAACAACTCCACTGTCACCTTATTATGTGGTGGCTTAAAGCCTTACAACCCTGCCAATGCCTTGTGTTGCAACGGATCAGTGCAGCTACGTGTTGGCGGCAAAGATTCAGCATGCTGTGGCCATTCGCCATACAACTCCAAGACGCATTTCTGTAGCCACAACCAGATTTATAAATTCTGTGCTGGTGTGCCTTACGATCCTTATACAGGCATTTGCTGCGGATCAAAACTCAACCCAAGACCTTATGGCGCTGTACTCAAATGCTGCGCAGATGGTGCCTATGATCCAACTATCTTCACCTGTTTGTGGGGAAAGAAAATTGTACCAAACTACGAGAAGTCTGCATATTAGTCGGCGTACATACAGTGACATGGTGATATTCACTGACTCTAATAGGCAATTTTTTTGAGTTTTAGTTTTAAACGTTTCTCTATTGTTATTTATCTGAGGACTTATACGCATACTGGAGCGACGAGACATGATGCTAATGATGATGATTGTTATTTATCTCAAAGATAAATAAACTAGAGCCCCCTTCAAATGGAGGTGTAATTATAAACGTCTGGCTTAGTGGAAATTGAGTGATGGACCTTTTTTCCGTCTATTTTCTTTCAATGTCAAGCGCAGAAATGATAAATAAAGTAAACCTTTTTAAAAAAGATCAATTGTTTTAATTGCATTCAAATTAAAGAAGGAGAATATTCCACAAGATAAAATAAAACAATTAAGATCAAGCAACTTACAAAACTAAACCGATAAATCTTGCACACTCCCTACCAAATGTTTCAGCGCCACCCTGACGTTCTTTCGATCGGCCTTTATTAATTAAACGAGCGGTTATTTCACTGAGATGATTTATCTCTGATAGGTCTTGGGAATTTCATTTCTTAACAGGCCACTGACGCTTTCCTTGTGACTACCGGAACCACTTAAATATAGTTCAGAAGACAGTTTTGTTTGAATAGTCACACCATAAAACTTCGCCTTCATATGACACAACTTAGTGTTCTCGAAATTGAAGTTCTGAAAAGACTTAAGCCAATTTTTGTCGACTTGGTTTTATCAAACAATAGTATTAACAAGCGTCTTTAGTAAGGGCCTACAAAGCTGGCGGGATGACAGGATCTGCTTCATTCTAGGAGTGCTTCTCCTCACTCCCTAGGTGCACCATAATCCTTCAAGCAAAGCAGGCTACTCTTGTAAGACAATTTAGTACGTCTTGAAAAAGAAAAAAATAAGATGTTCAGTTAGTCGGAGGAAAGACTTCGAGAACACATAGTCCGCTAAGCAACGTGGTTGGGTTACCATACGCATTTCAGGAATGCACGTCTCTGAACAAAGACTTCTATGAACATTTGATTATTGTCCGTATTCTGGAATAAAAACTTAAAGAATAATTCGCAATATACGATCGATTGTCCTACTATAATCAATAAACAACAAAAACAATAAAAAACAAAAACAAATTTACATTTTTATTGTAGTTTGCACTAAATAGTTTGAATTAAATTAAGACTAGTAGTGCAGTGATGTTTTTGTCAATGTGTGCCACAGCTCTCTAGACTAGAGTTTTTCGAAGACACTATTCGTCTCTAAGGAGATCTTAGTACTCAACATGACATTACAAAGGGAAAACTGAATTCACTCATCAGACCTTCACCGACAAGCAGCACCTTCCCAACTGTGAACTGTGCGACTATCAAGAGTTTAACTTAAGATTGTCTTGTCAATTGAAGTTTTGAGGTGAAGTGAACAAATGATTGATACGGTAACTTCTAGTTTATCCTTTTGACGGCTAGGTCGTTTTTAAAGTGAACTGAAACACTATAAGAACAGAAGGGCTATCCTTTTCTTTCTTTAGATAAAACAAGACACAAACAACGTAAAAAAAAAACTTTCTTTTGTATTAAAACTTAGAATGACTGGTAAGCAATTTGTATTTGTGTTTCATCTCTCTGCCACACCACTGAGGTGTGTACATCGGATTGCATCAGGAGATCCATAAGTATAAAGTTAGTCGGAGATAGATGCATATTCTTTTTGTCTCATTAGTGTATTAATTACAGCTCCATTATTATCTTAAGATAACTCACGTCAAACCTTTTTATTATACATTAGAGCTTTGCTATAAATTAAACAAGCATTATTGGCAAGTAAGAATGAAATTTGTGTAGCCCAATCGTGGCTTATAAATTCGGGCAAAGTTTACGTTTTAAGATTTATGCTTTTGATCAGAGGGAATCAAGGAATTGTGGCTTATCTGCTTAGTTTACGGAACGAACTGTCAAGCTGCGCCCTGTTAGTAGGGACGAAATAAGATCATTGAATTCACTAAATGATTTAAAGTTGTTCGGAAAGACTCCCAGAACGCTTAATCTAAATTCTAATGATTTTTATGTTTCCTCGGAGAAAATCCGAAGGTGGGATAGATTTAAATGTTCACTGTAGAGACTGCAATGGATGATGTATTGTTATTATTCTCTTTTGGCGTGACAAAGGGAAGCGATTGGCCATGCATTCATCTTAAAGTGAAATAATATTGGCTATGCATCACAGTTCTGGAGGCTGAGTATGAAATTCTAGTGAATAACAAATCATTCAATTACGGATACTTTCCGACGCCGGGTGTGTGATGGTCAGCTTTAACTGTTTTTTTTTTGTTTTTGTTTCAAATTTGTTTTTTTGTTTGTTTATTTTTTTATTGGGCGCAATTACAGGGGTCGCGGGTAATGATCTTGAAATTTCGGCAGGGCATCTTTTAGAGTTTCAATATGCTTATTTCACGTTTGAACAAAATGAGAGGTGATTGTAGAATTGTACAATAATTCATTTTGCAGTATGCTATTTGAGCCTTTTTAGGAAGAATTGAAGAAACGTTTGTTCCGAAGCTTGAAACTTAAAATGACATTTGCCGACTTGGCAAACTCTGTGCAACTAATGGAGCCCTCTTTAATACAATTTTCTCATGGACGTCTATTTAATACAAACGAGTGGGATACTTGTATTAGTTAACTGCTTTCATCTTGGTTGAACGTACAGGTAATTACTTCTGTTTGCAGGATAGTTGCATGTTCGCCTGACATGATTGTATGGTTATGAAGTCTTTACGAAACCTCGAAGGGATCACACTGGCCTTACTTGTCCTGTCAATATTTTTGTTGCTAATTAACAAACTTTACTTCCAATCCGAAAATGTATGGCAACACAGCCCTTCTAAAACTCGAGGTTGGTATAAATACATGTGTGTGTGTCTTTTCTTTCCAGTTTTGTTTTTGTTTGCTTTTGTTTTGTTTTGTTTTTTACCTAAGTAGACAGTGACGTCTGCGATGATGCTAACGTCGATGATTTCGTTTAAGAAAATTACGATAACGATTATGACGATTATCATGATAGTGGTGTTGGTATAAAACGATGATGACGATGACGATGGCATGAACGACCATCGTTCATTCCCCTATATTGGTCGTCTTCTCACTGGCTAAGAGCCTACAGTTAATTTTGAAAAGTAGCGCAACGTACAGATTGGTTAGTTATCTACTAGCACTAGTTACTAACTAATCCGTAGGTTCCGCGCGCAATGCATGATTTCCAAGGGCAATATCAAACTGTGTTTCGTGCAATGGTGTGTTTGTCGTTATTTTCTTCAAAGGAATGAACGGTAAACTAATTATTAGATTCGGTTTCTGTGATATCTAGAATAATCAAGGTCGCAGCAAGTGTTGCCTTGACCTTATTATTCTGGATATCACAAAAACCTCATCCAATAATTGTTTCCAAACGGATCTTTGAGGATGGAAAAAGATCCTTTTTCAACCTTCCACTTTAGGTTCCTTTTGATTTTTATTATTATTTAGTCTCTATTCTTTTCCTATCTAAACTTCCATTTTTAGGAAAGAGACCTGGAACAGTTCTTGAATAGGAGCTGAAGAGGAGCTTCCCCCACAATCTCCTACATTGTACGTGCGGAAGCTTTACGATGGACGTAATGCCTTAAACTACCTACCTTTGATAAGGTGACTACTGGAATCAAAATATTCATTTTTCAAGGACATTGACATTCATCAAAATGAAACATGACTTTGTTTTGCAACAGAGTGTGACTAGGCTAGCGGAGGAAGAAGAAGAAGAACAGATTGAAATAACACTCTTGTAGAAAAAGGAGCTGCTAATTACCTTTCACTTTATCGCCCGTAGCATCCCTCAAACTTTTAATATAACGTATTTTTGCATCGAATCACAAGCTAAGTTTAAACCAAAAAACTGGTTACTTTTGATATTTTCAAGTAGTTCAAATTTACTTTATATTTCATTTTGTGTGTGTGTATTTCAAAGGTTATCGGGGACAAAAAGGGAACTGGAACAAGCCATCTTTTATTCAAATCCGAAAACTTTCATGTTCTGGAGGAAATTCAGAGGACTCTTAAAATCCCGTTGAAATTCATTCACGTCAGTTAGGAATCCATTTGACAACATCGCAACAAAGGTACTCAGACAACTGCATACCAGGGATAGTGCTCGAGGAGGAAGTTTCAAAGTAAGTTATTATAATAAATAACATACACTTGTACAATAGAGTCCTTAAGATCCGAAGACGGCGACGGCAACGAGAACGTCAAAAAAGCAATGTAGGGTTTTTCACCTTACCAGTCTAGAGAGTTAATAAGCACATGCATTCCTTTTTTTGTACATTTCTTTGCTGTTCCTACGAGAATGGCAAAAAGCCATAGGTTTAGATTAACAAAACAACAACTCTGCATGTGCATCACTATTTTTATACATTTCTTTGCCGTCGCTGCACGACTACTAAATCAAAATGCCTAATTTCACGTTTTGTGGAGGACACGAACACAAGAAAACGCCTTTCTTTTTCTTAACCTAAACTTCGATACAGTCTGTTAGAATTAAATTCCAGAAAAAAATTGCCAACTTTTGACGAATTGAACGACAAGAAATGTCTGAAGCAGCGCGAATTCACTTTTTAAGTGACGTTTTCGTAACCGTCGCCGTCTTTGTTTCTTAAGCTCCCTAATAATCACTCCTGCCTGATACCGGCGGTAATTGGCGTCTCCGACAACCAGTGCCAGTGGTCTTCGAGTCAAAGTGAGTTTTATGCAGTCACTTGATGGAATTACGGTATACCTGACAAGTCAACTAAGTAGCGATGTTAAGTTGCTGGTCGTCTATCACTTCAGCTGAAATGCTCTTTACTGCCTATGGTTATTTGTCTACATACAATTCGCTGCTACTTGGGGACTATATTTTTGTCTTCCAGGTGAATGATTCCATCTTATTGGACTCGGTTATTACAAGCCATTTCAAACTCATAGAATCAGCTCAAAAACTGCACCACC